AACCAAAGGTGTGAAAATATAGAAAATGTCTTCTATTTCGTAATGGTACATACATAACTTTTTTTTTAATAAATGAGAATCTGACAGCTCTGGCATACATTACACATTTCAACTGTGAGGCCCGTAGGGTATTTATAGTGTTTTCCTATACATCTTATTTTCTTTCAGCCCTTTTCCCCCATTCTTCCATTAAAGGCCACATTTATTTATTTTTAGCACAGGAATGATAGTTTGTTTTCGATTGTTCCACCTGAGCTGAGGATTTGTGCAGCTCCTCCTTTTCTCGCCTGCTAATTGATGCAGGTTTTCAGAGTTCTGCTTAGACTCCAAGTCCACACTTGTCTCTTCTACTCTTTCACAGTAGCTCTTAATAAATTTTGCCTGAACATAATTGAGATCTGGCTTTAGTGTTTTTTTTTTATTTATTTAAAATATAAGGATATAAAAAAAATTTTGTTTTAGCAAACTTGTTATGTTTTCTTTCTCTCTTTTAGGTTGGTTTAATCTATACTAAATGCTCACAAAAAACAATATTGTATAATTTGATCACATTTTTTTCTTATTTTCCAGGAATAAAATTAGTGAAGTTTATGGAAACTTGCTTATATTCTGCAGATACAAAAACATAGTTCTATAATTTCACCATAAAACAAAAGAATGGAGGTTTTTTTGGCCCCTTAACCAGTGGTTTTTAATCATGGCCCTCAGGACCAAATATAGATTTTTAATGTGTCTCTGCTCCAGCAAGCCAGATATAAGATTATTGCACTATAGATATACCATTTTAATAACTATTTAATTTAAGTCAGGTGTATGACAGCAGGGAAATACCTAAGCTTTGTGCAACAAAGGGTCCTGAGGAACAAAACTGAGAACTAATGCCGTAGATAAATTATGTTGTTTTTTTTTTTGTTTTTTTTTAAGAATTAGGGCACAGAAAAGGGATGAGAAGGTTGCAGAGTCCTGGTGTACTTGGATAAATATGCCTTTACAGGCTGAGTTAGGATTTTGTTTTATAACCTAATACAGATTCTAAAACTTCAAAATGGACTTCTACTTGGTCTTCACTAAGGGAAACCAAAAGGGAAGAATTTCTTAAGGAAGTGTTGACAAAATAAATAACACTATGGGTAGTCTGAAACATGTTTGGTATTAAAAGCAGGTAACAAACCCACAGCAACTATAGAGAAAACCAACAATTTAAACTAAAAGCAAACCTATCGGAATCCACAGTATCTGGAAAACCCACAAAAGGCAACAAAAAGATCTTAAACAAAACCAACTTTTATTGTATAACAGCTCCAGGAAAGTCAGCACACTATATGAACATTATTTTTGGTTCAGAGTTGTATTTCGTTGCTCACACTGCTGACAGTCTGATATAAATTTAACAAAACGGAAACAAAGCAATCAATGAGAAAAATTGCAAACGAGACATGATGTTCTACATCTGGCCGCCAACTATTGAATATTGTCAAACCTTGTTTTATTCTGAAACCTGAGAGTCTCTGATGAAACTTTACATGGTGGAAGTCTAGTGATTTGTTCTGACCTGAGTGCATTGCATTGTAACTGGTTTTAAAGGCCCTAATCAGACTACTTCGTTTTTCTATTACAGTAGCAGTACTCAGAGCAGTACCTCAAAATCTGAGAAAGTTCGACTGTTGAAAGCCATGACACAATTATTAACCAGCTTTCATGTTTATAAGAAAATGTACGTCTTTCTCATAAAATCTACAAATCCAGATTAGGAGACACAACATTTATTAAACAGGCTGTGGTTACTGTAGAACCTGCCCATTGACTGCTCCCAGTGGAGAGTAAACCTGTCAGATCCTGGACATCTCAAGAGGTAACTACTTATTTCTCCTAAGCATGAGTCAGCAAAGGGCAATCCATATTTAGAGCTGAGGGAAATGACCTGAGGTGTGGAATAATCTCAGATTGCTGAGTAAATGGTTTGTCTGATGACTTGCTGTTCCTCGGAGCCAAGGGGAGCGTTCCCGGACAAATGACTCCCTTAGCAGCCTTGCGTGGCGGGACTATGGGTCAGGTTAGTATGAGAGAGACATTAGTCCAAAAAGAAAAATGTATTCAACACCGGTCATCTCTTGTGTTCCAAAGGGGAAGATGCTTTTAATTAACAGCTGTGCTTAATCACATACACATCTTCAAGAACCTTCAACATTTTACACAGTCATACAGACATGACATATTCATAAATTTATCACTGTTCCAGACACCATCCTTTTCCTGTAACTGGAGCCAGGGTCAACATCACTGGGCTCCACAAGATGAATAGAACTGTTTACCACCGTTTTGCTCTTGCACACGGGTACCTGAATTGATTTTATCCAGTCAGATGTAACAAGGCCAGAGAACACTCCTTATTCTCAGAAGCCATTCCACTGATTACAAAACCCAGATGTTGAGTATGTGCAATTCAAACATAGCATCCAGACCTACATGATCTCTCTATATAGAAAGTGTTTAACCTTTTCTTCTCCCTCTTAATCCGTTGGATGGTGGATGGGCCAAAGCAGGAGTACACCCTTAATTGGTTGCCAATCCAATGCAGTCAATATAATCACTAGGATTTAAAGTTCATGTCAATGCTTGATCGAATTCCAATCAAGCGGTAACTGTGGAGGAGCTGCAGAGATCCAAAACCTAGAATAAAGAATCTGCTGACAGGAAAACCTACTTTTAATGCAACAAAAGAAATCTGGGCTTTCTGAAGGAGTTGCTATAAAGTTTACCCTGCCCACTTCTTGTATGGTAATAGAAAAAATGGCCACTAGTAACAAAACATAAAAAAAGGCTTATCACTTTGTATTAAACAAAAATAGGTATTAGGACTGTTACTAGCTTAAGTGCTTTTCTTCGTAATGGTGTAGCGGTTTTCTTTTCCCAGTAATTTCTAGACCATAGACACATCTCTCCTCCTTGTCTCCTGAGGCAACGTCGCTGGAGTATAGCAGCATTTTAACTTTGCGTTTCTGTCATCCTGGTTTCCACCTTACACTGTGTATTTTAAAAAATGCCGGTGAGAATGATCTAATGCAGCCAGTGTAGGTAGATCAGCTAGAGACAATGGAGGAGGCAGAGCTAAAGGATGTCCAACACAAACTTAAGGAAATACATGCAGCTGCATTCAGGTATTTGCTAAAGTTAACACAGTTAGCTGAGCTGGTCACCACAACTCAGCCAGTAAACATAAACAGCTGACATAGTTCTTGCCAAAAAACATGTCCTTTGAAAGGAAAATAATACCATTGTGTGTGAGTGTATGCACTTGCAGGTGCACATGTATGAGTGCGTTATAAATGCATGTGTATACAAAAATAATTCATGTAGGAAAAATGAGGAGAAGCAGAACAGTATTTTACAACACAAAATTAAGGTCAATATAAATATTTGTGTAGATGATAGTAGTTCAAAATGGGGCTAATAAATATTGTTGCAAACTCAGACAGATCCCTACATAATCCAAGATGAAATCCACAGATAGCTTTAGCCACTTTAAATGAATTCAAATAAAAAGCAAAGAGTTCAATCCAAAATTGAATTAAAACTAAAGGCTAATTTACACTAATTTGACTGTCTTACTCACAGCTGCTATAATAGTCTGAGAAATTGATATTGTGGCCATAGGATGCATGATTATCCAAAAATCTTTGAATTAAATGTTCATTTATACCTGAATTTTAAAGTTGAATTTAAAATGTGAAAATCACTATTAGTTGTGTTGAGAATGAAGAGTTTCACAACCAATGGAACTGATCTGATCTGTTTGTCACAGTTTCTTTGACAGCAATGACTTGGAAAGAAGTAAGTTTGACTATAGAAAAATAAAGATTTGATGTAGATAAGCTAGGGTACTTTTGTCATTTTGTTGTAGCTTAACTTGTTACATTTCTCTGGTATGTAGCTTCAGTGTAATGAAGCTTCATTTTAATTTGTCTGTGAAGATTCTCAGTCATCTAGATCATAGTCAAACTAGGACAATTTCAGTCTAGGCAACTGGATGCAAACCTTTCACTTACTTACAAAGAACTTTTAGGAACAATACCCTGAAGATTCCTCTCCTGGGAGTTTCAAGGAGACAGAGAGGGGAATGGCAGCCTAGTAGTTTGGGCTTGGAATCCTGAGGTTCTGATTGGGAGGGAGGTTGGAACCCTATTCCCACAGAGTGCATCTTTGGCTCCCTGAACAAGACCCTTAATCCCATCACTAACCCCACGCTGCTCCCTAGGCGCCACACAATGGCATTCCACTGCTCCCCAAGGGGATGGGTTAAATGCAGAGGGTTCATTTCATTGCTCTGTACTTGTGATAGTGTAATGAAAATAGAAAAAACCTGGATATCCTACCCCACCTGACTCACACTTCAGTGATGTGATACCACTCTGAAGAGGGAGTTAACGACCCATCAGAACCACCTAATAATCATTAACACCACCCATGTGTCCTTGTTTTCCAATCCAGTTGGAGAGATGAGAACCACCTTTTGTCCTCCCTGATTCTTTGTTACACCTACAGTATATTAATCTCAGTGGTCCCCACAACTAGTTAGAACTGAAGAGGCCTCTTGGATGATATGCTAAACGTCTTCCAAAAAAACTTCACGTCTAATTGTCTAAACTGAACTTTTTAAAATCTCATTTAGCGTAGAATAACAACACCGCTGGCTCATCAACTTCCCCATCGTGGCCTATTTTGGTTTGATTTTGCCGCTTTCACATCCCAAAGCACTCATTTTACAGTCCTGTGTGCGAATACCAATTAGTCTGTTTAGCGTGCATTTAATGGAGAAGGCTTGTAAGGCTGTCATGCTGGGATGCAGAATACCCAGAGCAAAGAGCTGGGTGTTCGCTGACAAGCTGTTAAGTCCCATTACTTATTTATCCTCCCTGTAATCTGCAGCATTCCCAGCTGAGATCCATCCACTCTATATCTGTTAGGAAAGCACTGACCCTCCCTTTTTTTCTTTTCCACAGGTACGATGTTGACTCGAAGAGCGCCAATCTGCAGAAACATGTGAGTCCTTCTTTGGAGCTTCCTTTCTCAGTTTGTGTCTGACTGTGTGCCTCTTCCTCCCATTTTGAACCATTTGAGCCACATAATACTAAGCCATTACAGCGACCGTGTTGATTATCTACTAAACTTGCATGGTCTCAGAGCAGGCTTTGGGTCATTTAGGAATTAAAATTTCCACCCTGCTTTTTCCCATTGACGCCAGTGATTACAAGAGCTGTAATTAGGAACAACAGCATGCTTGCAGGTAATAATAACCATTACTCGCCCGCTGCTTTGAGCGCGTTCTATTTCAAAGAACTGCAGAACGCTTGGACGATGCTTATTTTTACATTAGGTGAGGAAACTCTTGCCTGTTTCATTGTTGAATATTTGAAAACACAACAAAAAAGGATATTATAAGGCTTGGGGCTAATCAGAGCCAGAAATAATTACAATTTGAAAATATTGCATTAACTGTTTTTTTTATGATTTTTTAAATTCATTCACTTTCACAGTGCTAAAGGAAAGCACCCCCCACCCCCTCCCTTAAAGGGTTCTTCTATCTTAGCTATTTGTCAAGCAACCTTTATATCAACAATAACTTATTTACATGTATATTATCAAAAAGGAAGCTACTCCCTAAACCTGATATCTCAAGGGCAGATTATAGTTCTGCAACCGCACACATCAAATGTCGCTTGGGTCTGGTCGCGAACCAGTTTTGCTGGTGTGCTTCTGCACCATCGGTCTGGAATTTCTAGGGACGCATAGCAGTTTCCCTCCAAAGCGCATAGGGGGAGCCTATTCGAGAACTCGCGAGAACTTCGATGGCACCGGAGGGAGTGTTTATCTTCCATAACAACAATGGCACATCTGCAAGATATCAAGGTCATGGAGATGGATCTAGAGTTGCTAGACATCGAAGAGGATATATTTATTGATATAATTTGTCCTAGGCATCGTACAAGCGTACTTCCGAACCTACTTGTTCTTCCGAACCTCCTTGATTAACCTTTCGTCATAGTTGTCCATTGTTCCTCGGTTTTTAAAAATGGCGCGCCCCTGAACCGAATCCAGAAGGGCGAACACACAGACAGTCGGAAAGGCATGCCAAGGACCAATCACAGCTGCTCTTTGTCGGCGCACTTCCGCTTGAGGTTTGCGCAGGTTTGTGATCGTCCGACGCGTAGGCAGGATTATTTTTAGGTGTGCAACGACGGTTGCAGAACCTCTGCGCGGAGGGCGTGGTCACCCACAGAGACAGATTTGATGGTTGCGGAGGCTATTTGTCAGAAGCATAAATTGGCCATAATTCTACCATGGACTGGTTAGGTCAATCGACAGCATCTAAATTGTATTTAACTCCATACTTTGACTAGATCGCTGCTATGGAAACGTTCAATTATCAAGAAGTGAGAAACAAACAACATAAAGAAAAGATCAATCTTGTCTTTATAAGTTTATTCAAAGGAAAAAAGCAATGTTTGAAGACACATGTTCTAAGGATGGGTGAACAACGTTTGCCAGACTTAAGGGCTGATCAAACTTTATAACATTTGAAGCTGAGGCACAAAGAAGCTTTGGAAATAAAAATAAATAGATGAGAGGAGCCACCCCAACCTTTAGGAGATTTGGGAAATAAAACTATGGTATCCAAACCTAATAAATAAATAGATTCTGCTTCAGGGCAGCCAAGATGAAGGAGGTCGGTTCACATAACGTTTAGCATACTGTAAAACATAAAAAAAAATATAAATAGATATATTATAGTCATGCAAATACAAGTAAGTATGAAATATAAAGTCATGAACAATATTGTTCACAACACCATTCAAAAAACTCAGTCAGATCAATGTCCTGATGCCTAACCCTTATGTGCTTGAGCTTCAGCTCCCAAACTGAATACATTGGTTGTTTTTTTTTAGATTTTCAGGGAAAGGGCGAAATAAGTCATCTATGACCTGAGGCTGCAAAGCCACCTCAGACCATTACACTACTGACGTCATGTTTTGATGTTTCTATGATCTGAAATTCTTCTCAAAGGTTTCAAGGATTGTCAATTGTTATTTATTTTTTATTTTTTTTGAAAGGATGAGATTATCCTTTTGGGTTAGCAGTAGTTTGTACCTTGGATGTCTTCTTTTTGTAGGTCGTCCATTCCTTAGATTTACTCCTATGTTCTGTTGTCTACTTTACAGATGAATAGCTCTGGATTTGATTCGTTTGGTCCCACCACCTACTTCATGTTGTCACAATGGTTCTATTAGAATTAAATCCAGAATTTATGAGTTAAGCAGTAAGTTGGTCTGGGCAATGCAGTTATTCAGCTAATTTTGTGTTTGTACAGTAATATTACATTGAGTTGTGAATCTTTTCAAATTGGCTCAATATTTTTGCTCCGTTTTTCCCAGACAGCTATGTTTTCTTTGCCCAAAGGCAACACAACAGTAAGCCCTTATCATTTATTGCTTTTAAGCTCCCGGGCCGACCACGCTGCCCACATAACACATGAGATGGATTCACAGGTGTGACTGTTGGCTCTTTTTAGAAAGCGCTGTGGATTATTGGAAGAAACATAAAATAAATATGAGAACAGGGAAGATATCACAGTCTACCCTGCAGCTCATCTTTGTTTATTTTGGGAAACGTGGATTGCTTTTATGCGATTCTGTTTATTTAATAAAGACCAAAACTTGTTTGGGGACCTTTAATGCTGTTATAGAGTGCAGACATTTAATCCTTTTACCTTAACTGTTCTGGTCAGGACATTCAACACTGTACCCTCAAGGATGGGCATACATTATGGTTTTAATACAGAGCTTTCAGTGTTTATATTGCATACTTTATTATGGCAAAAATAAGCACTCAATAAAGAGATTGCAATGAGTCCAGAACCTATTGCTGATTTTCTTGGTTTAGGGTCAAGTTATATCCACAATCTGATATGTAAACACAAAACTACGTTAATAGTTGGTTAGGTTTCTTGCAGAAACAACTCATCTTTTGTCGCTATCAAAGATTTTCTGATATAATCCTGGCTAAATGATTTAAGAGTTAATTATATGATTTGTTCTAAAACTTTTATGTATAGTCCAGACATTTTATTTTTAGGCTGCAATAACTTCCTTTATCCATTCTAAGGCAAACTTTGTGTGTTTGTGATCATTGCAATCAGTTTGATAAAAATACTCTAAACTAAACTAAAGGTAATGAGTTTTGGTATTCAAAAACAACCCAAGAAGCCTCAATAATTAAACTCACCATGTGCTTGAGGCTGCAGGAACGTCATGTTTCTAAAAGACAAATGTTGGGATCTCAAGCCACCAATTTAGGCACAATGCTTGAATAGATTTGAGGTCTTTAGATCTACTATTTAACCAACTTTTAAGCATGGTGATGGGAGTGTTATGCTGTGGAGCTGTTTTCCTACAACTATTATAGTTCCTCCATATTCACAGCTAAACAGCTAGTAGGTTTAAACAGGTGTAATAATGAAGGTAGACTTTGTGCTAGGGTGTATGTTTTACATATATTTATGACTTTGAATTGTACTGGATAATAGTTTCAATCTGATACAGATATATCTGTGCATTTTACATCATTGCACCACCATATGTCTTTAGGAGCAGAGCAACCCAGAGATAATTGATAACAGAATGTATTAAAATCTTCTACAATTTTTCTAAGTGTTTCTTTTTCTGCACATACATTCACACCTTTGACCTGAACAGGTTTAATGCCATTCTTTCTGATTCTTCTTTTTCTCTGAACTAGGTGACTAATGAAAAGGGTTAGGTTAGGTATTGATAAAATACACAACTTCACCAAAGTATTTATACCACAAAATATTTTCAATATTTTAAAAAAATTTTTCGATATATTTATGAATTAGAGCAACAAGACCAGCTAAAAGACACCTAACTGGGGCCAATGCTCTCCTTCCAGGAGGACAACCCTGTTGACAAAAGGAGGTAGAATCCAAATTCAGTCCTTACGGATGTATATATCATCCTTTTTTTATAACTGCTTGCCTCTTTTATGTTGGTCCATCTCATAAAATCCCAATAAATACATTAAAGTTTGTGATTGTAGTGTGACAAAATATAAAAAAGCATTTGATTGCTTTAGTAGCTAATTCATCTTCTTAATTCTGCATTTTTAAATGCATTTGATGCCTATGATCTGGTTTGTTTCATTGTTCTTATCCATTGTTCTCTCTGTCCTTTCTCTTTTTGCCTCATTTGTTTAACATCAGTAATCTGATTAAAGGGGAAACACACACATGAACTCTTAGGCAGCACTGCATATTTCAAGCCTTCTTGCGGATGCCATAGGGAAAGCCATTAGATGGGGTTTTACCTCCCTGAGGAAGGAAAGGAGTGAAATGAAACGTGCTGCGCTCATGCAAATGAGCTGCATAGTTTGCATCCACTATTGAATATCTGGCAGACAAAAGATAAAAAAATACAAGCAGCTATGATGGACTGGTTAACGTTATGCACCGTTGGATTATATGTTTTTATATTAAAAATGTAAATATTCGTAAAATATTTTACTATGATGCTTTTCACAGTAGTTAATCATCAAATTGTTTTTTTTTTTGTCTTCACAAGTTAGGACAAGCACTAATTAGTTATTTTTATTTATTCTTTTCAATGGCGTACTTTCTCTTACTATACTCGGATTTAACACTAACATCTCTACATTTCCAGCTTTAAATAGACGTATTATTTCCCATTTTAAAGTTAATAACTTCCATCATTGATTGGTTTTGTCTATTCCCCTAACCTTTTAATCATACACCTTATTTATTTTGACCAAAATAACAAACACCCCAGCTTATGACTAACCCATGGTTGTCTCATAATGTCTCATTTTTAAATTGCTAACCACGTCATTCTGTTGCTTCCCAGTTTGTATTTTGCCGCCTGCAGACTGGCAAGGTGCCTTCTCTGATACTAGACTGCAAGTTAAAAATCTTAGACTGCAGATGGCTATGTTGATCCTTGCTTTGACCTCTTTGAGATTAGTAAACTGGAGGCGTCTGGACAGCTTGATTTGGTAGGCTTACCATATCTGCACAACTGAACAAGGGAAGCCAGCTGCTGTCCATGAAGCTGAAACAGATGGAAAGGCTTAATAATAAAGCAGCTAGGAGCACAAGTTTTTTTTTTTTTTTATTGTCCCAAAGTAAGTGCTATGAAATTAAATATTGGACCTGGATATAATGTTTATAGTATTTAGAAAAGGATTAACACCAACTTAAGGTTTTTTATTATCTGATCCAAAAAAAAAGAGTTAACTCTGAATCTAAAGACTGGGATTTGCATCATAGTTACCTTATAAGTATTGGACTTTGGATTTAACAAAACATCCAGTTTTTTTATCTATCATTCCCATTTAACACTATTAAAATATTACTTTGCAATTGAGTAGCAGAGAAATTACCTTCTAAATGTTTCATCAACGCCTCCATATTTTGTTCAATGAAATTAAATCCATATTTGTTAAATTGGGTTATATTTATGTAATTAGTTGAGGGAACCTATAAAAATATTTACCTATGAAAGTAAGATGGTTATATTACAGGAAAAGTAAGTAAAAGTAAAATTCAATGAATTCTACATCTTTTTTTTTCCCATCTTAGGGTTAGATTTTTGGAACAAGACTCCCCATATCTTCATATTTATGCTCTAAAAGGAAATGTGATTCCAATTTAGCAATCTCCATGGTAAGACAGAAGCAGCTGTGAAACATCTATGAAGGTACAGCAGTTCTGTAGTGGGACTTTATCGCCCTAACAACAAAAAAGCTGACCTCTTTTTCTTCGGTTATATGAATATAGTAATGTTTTTTACAAATGAAAACCCAGATGACAAAGTTTGAAAAGGCAAATCAAAACCTGATTTCTAAAAAGAAATTTCTAACCAGAGTACAATAACCCAGTGCAGGTTTTCACAGATTTAAACAGACATGTTTTTAAATTTACCATTATGAAGTTCAGTTTGGATTCTTTTAAAAACAGGGACCCAGCGCTATAGTTTGGTCCCAAATCCACGACTTTATCCCCTTCTTGTGTTAAGATATATACAATAACAGCTCATCATTGTGAATTGAGCCTGCATTTAGAGTAACTTTGTTCTGCTTTGAACAGAAGAATTTCAGTTTTCAATCTACTAATAGGAAGCTTCACATGAGATGCTAATTTACAGTGTGCAGCCAGCTGTGGCATACAGCCAAGTTTCCTTTCATTTTAGTTATATAGCACCAATATTATAGCACTTTATCTCAACAGCCTTTACAGAGACAATACAGTCAGACTGGTTAAAAGTTTCTGTGTAGGAAAACCAGTTGATTGCATCCAGTCATTGACTTGCAAGACATGCTCCTTCTTGCTATGTTTTTTACTTCAGTTTTCTGATTGATTCTTCAGCAATCCCCAGCATGCACTCATTTGAGATGCACTGATTCAGGTTTTTCAGATCCAATCCGATACGATACCTGGGCTGAGCATATCAGGCAATATCCCATATGTAAACTATTAAATGAACCACACATCTTGCCATGTAAGTGAAGACATTCACCATGACACAAACATTGTTAAAAAAAATAAGCTATTAACACAGATATCAGTAATGAAGCAGATATCCGATACAGGTATTGTGTTGGTGCATCGCTGGCATTCATGAAAGTGAAGAGGAAAAAATTTATTTTAACTGCAGAACCAGGCTCAGTGTGAGCTGCCTTCTCATGAGCCTCTTGAGACTTTGGTTAAAGGAGATAGAAGCAGACACACAGAAAGAAGCAGATATACACAAGATAACTTGTAACTAGCTCCACCGTTGGCCCCATCCAGGAAAGCCAGGCAGACAAGCTCCGAGCCAATTCTCTTGTCAGAGGATGAAAGAGCACATGCAGCTAATCACAGTAAAAGAAACCGCACTACACAGAAAAAAACAAGCCCAACTCCAACATCTATAAATATAGATGTTGATGGCAGCAGCCCGGCTGATATTTCAATCCAGGATGGAGTCGCAGTGAAACAAGAACAGACCAGATGAAAGTACTATAAAATTAAAAGCACAGAGAACATAAAGTTATGGGTGGAACCGAAGAAACGCTGCTGAATGAGATACTAGAGATAGAATAAAGTAGAATAATAACAAGTGGTCTCTATGTCCTCCAGTGGCCTAAACATATAGCAGCATTAATGTAGAAAATAGGTATTTTTCTTTAGGAACTTTGTGGTTGCAAAAACTGAAACCACATCAAAATTCAAAAACTATTTCACCTTTAAATGCTTATTCAGAAGAAAACCGTAAAGGATGTGAACTTTCTGACAGAGTTGCTTTAATAGCTTTACTTTGTAGCTACAATTGTTTCACAATATTCTTTCTTCTGTTTTTTTTTTTTTTCATTTTATACTTCCCTGTTATCTGGATGATTGGGACAGAAATATCTCTACTTTTAACTTTATTTGATCAGTTTTTCCTGTTTCGTCTAATTGGCCATTATCTACACACAGCCAGGTCTCTGGTGGACCCCATGCTGGCAGTAACCACAGTTACTCAGTGGTTTATATTTCTTCATCAGAGACAGAGAAAAAAAAAAACTTTTTTATATGTTTTTCATTTTATTTTCGGAAACCCCTTCTATTATGATAAATATGTAAAAAAGTATCTTTTCGCAGACATATCTGCAAGAAGATACTACTGAGTAGAGCAAAAGGTATCCATTATGTTAGTAGTGCTCAGAAATGTTCTGAACTAAAATTAGATGCATTATGCAGGCTTTACTTCTGAGTAAAAAATGGAAAAAAGTTGTTAAATGGCAATTTTATTTTATAAGTCTCATTCTGCTATGTAAGAAACTCATACTGAGACTCATCTGCACTTAATTTAAATGTTGAGTACTGTGCTGGTATATATACCGGAGTTAGAATGTACTCAACCCAATATGTGCAGCACATACTGTACCTCCATATAGTTTTATCACAGAATGATACAGTTGATTTGTTTATTATTCTCAAAAGCATTGATTATACCTAAGGATTAGACACAGGGTATTTTTCTAGCATAAAAATTTTGTATTATGGTCTTGCTGATTCTGCAATTGTCCAGCAGGCAGTCATTGACACGTTTCACATGGAGGATAAGCCACAAAAGCTTAACAATATAATAAACTATATAAATAACCATGTAAATAACCATAAACATGGAGCATTGTACAGTAAAAGCATATGTTGTGTTTAACAACTAAAATAAAATAATTTTATTTATGATTTTGGCAGATCTATGTAAAATATATGTAAAAAGATTCATATCTTTTTTAATTTCTGCAGGACTTCTTGGGCCAAGCCTACTGCACCCTGGGAGAGGTGGTTGGATCACTGGGAAGTCGCTTGGAAAAGCCTCTCGGGTGAGTAGATGTGCACACAGCTTTAACAGAAAACTTTAACTCCAGTTATAATTTCACCAGAGGTGACTGAAGGTTACTGTATACAACATAAAATGATTACCAGAGCTGTCAGTCACATTTTCCCTATGGAGCGCATTAACAACAAAATCCTTTGTATTTACTGTGCTTAGGCACTGCAGCTGCTTCAGACTTTATCTGACTCGTCTTCTGAAGAAGAAATCTTCACCCAGACCCCTTTTCAAGCCTTAAGACCTCTTGACATTTTCATCTGTTGTCTTTTTGAGGCAATAACATGAAAAGTGGGTCTTACTGACAGGAAGCTCTATCATTCATCCCTGCTTTCACTCTCTTAAGTTTAGATTTTGGGGAGAATGTCACTCGCCATTTCTTAAAGTAGATGAATTAAATCCTTTTTGTTGCCGTACAAAAATTAACAACAGGATGCATTGAGAGGATCATATCAGGTATTCTTTCATTGGTTTGATGAGTATGTAACAGAAAATGTTCCTGTTTTATCATGGAGCTAGATATTTGAAATCCATTTTTGAGCTCTAAGTCTGAGAAGAACATGGAGTACCGATGGTGTCCTATAATTGGACTTTCATGCGTGTTCTTGGCTGCTGTTTCTGGGGAAACAGCAGCTAAGTTAAAGTGCATTGCTACAGTAGCTGCTAATTAAAGACACATGCATATGCCTACTTAAAAAAAAAGAAAGAAGAATTTTATTTTCTTTGCAAAGAAAACTAAACTCTTATTATATTGGCTGCACTTATTTAGCATCGTTGCTTTATCTGCTGGTAGCTGATAGATTCTGATGCATCATTATTGTTCGACTGTTTTAACAATGTTAACATCTAGAAAACTAATCTATTAAACAGTAAAAATCTGTTAGATTGTGGAAAAAAAGCAAATTGGTGTAATTAGGACTTAGCAGAACAATGTACTCAATTATACTGAATTACAAACTGGAATCCCACTAAATTGTGTGTGAATATATTAAAAACACACCTATTGGTGTTCATTTAAATGTTTTAAATCAGCTGGCATAAAATTTGACCAAATAGATTTATTTATTTAGAATGCAGAGCGTTTATATAAAAATGGAATATGATGTTAAATTGATCTAAACCTAAATTTAACTGTGTTGAACTGGATTGGGTGCACTGAGCTATGATTAGATATTTAATCTAAATATAATAAAGAAAATAATAAAACATTAGTTTTGGTTTAAATGCCATTTTATTTGAAATAGTGATCAGAATCAGATGCTTTAAACTGAAAGAAAACATCCAATTTTGGATTAGATTGGACAAGACTGAGTTTGAATAATTTAAAATAAAAATGTTTTTTTTCTGTTTTCATTTTTACTGCAATAATGATGAAGATCTTAAAAGAATGGGTGGAAAAGGAAAGATTGTATTGCAAATTGCTTCGCAGTGGAGTTCATAAATTGCACATTCTGAAGATAAGAAAATTAATAGAGAAATTAATCCACAGTGATAATCACTCTGGATAAATATATAGACTATATTACTGTAAGTGAGAACAGGCTTCAATTCCTCGTCATCGGTAATTTTCTTTATTGCCGATCAGAGAGTCTTTCTTTTGATTACTAACAGAAACACCAGCTCATTTCATCAACACAAAAAGCTAAATAGCTTTCATCAGGATGCACGGTAATTGGCTCTTATCCATAAATTGCCTTTGTTTTAATTCCATCTCTCTCCTTTTATTTACTTCCTCATTTGAAGCTTTGGAGTCCTATTACAGCCCCTATCAGCTCCTTCTAAGCTCGTCTCGTTTTACTGAGGTAGTTGGGGGTTTTCTAAAAGAAACAGTCAGCAAACTCTCTACTTATCAGACTTCATCATCCATGCAAATGAATCAAAAGGCTTGCAAAAGTAATCCCAGTGGACAGTGTTGGGATTTTTACACAAGCACCATTGAAAGGCTCATAAAGATTATTTCACAATTCTATCACATAAAATCCCGAAGTATGTTAACTATAAATAAAGTTTGTTTTTCTGAACATGACCAACAGAAGTGTCAAGTAACAAAGTAGAAATACATCCTTACCTTATTTTAGTAGAAATTTTGGCTATCTATACTTTACTGGAGTAATTATTCTCTAGACAACCTTTTAATTCTACTCCTTGCATTTTTTTGCAATTACCTCTACTTTCTACTCCTTACAATTCAGAAATAGACGTGTTACTTTTTTTCATTTCAGCTCAGTTTTGTTAAAAACATCAAAATAACTAGTTTCTTCTAGACAATTAATTTCTTTGTGGTTGAAGTTGGTGCTGCACCAACTCACTGTTCACCACTACCCAAATAAAAAGTTTTTCAAGATGATGCAAAGTAAAATTTGACACTGCTGATATTAGACGTTAGATAAATAAGAAAATTAGGTCAAAGGAAGGTACCATCCAGAATTGTAGAAAAATGTTCCTTTAATATGCATCTGTCCTTTAATTTTTTTTCCTGAATTACTTTTACTTTTATACTTTAAGTAGTTTTAAAAATGTTACTTTTACTTGAGTAAAAAGATTAAGTTGATACACTAACTACTCAATAAGTCATTTTAAACAGTAGAAATATTTCTACTTCTACTTGAGTAATAAACATTAATACTTTTGACATCTCTGATGACAAATGACATGACGGTGCTTATATGAGGCATTTTCAAATTACTGTAACTGACAGACTTGATAACAAGAGGTTATTTTCACTATAGGCAACTGAAGAAATCTGGCGCAAACCTAAGCAGAAGGAATAGATCTGAATTCACTCTTCAACCTCATGTGTAAAGATTCCCCAGCAGTGGGCGAAGCTAAGTGGCTGATGTCTGCAAAGAGCCCCATTTGAATTTAAACTGGTTGCATGTCACATCTCTTTAGTGAAAACAAGCCATGTGCATCTCAAAAACACACCCAGAGAGAAACCAAACCTCAGTCGGCCTCGGCAGATGGCCGCTCACACTGAGTCTGGTTCTGCTGGAGGTTTCTTCCTGTTAAAAGGGAGTTTTTCCTCTCCACTGTCACTACAAGCATGCTTGGTATGAGGGATTGCCTTTGAGTCAATGAGACTTTGCAACAACAGGTTTTCCTTAGATAGAAAACTTTGAACCAATTTGACTGCATGATCTGGTTGAGTTGTCTCTCTAAAGTGCCTTTAGGTGACATGTGCTGTGAATTGGCGCTATATAAATAAACTGAACTGAAATTGAATTGAACTAAACAGAAAAGGTGGAACTGAAATGGAACTTAGATGGTTATGAGATAATTTGAAATAAATAGTAAAACCTGTAAGTGAAACTTACTAATACTGTTACACAGCCAATAATTTTATTCATGAGATCCTATCCTAAGGACAAGGGTAGAATCTAAATCTGAAATTATAACTTTTTCGATATGTTTGTATTAATTGTCTTTTTGGGATGGAGTTTAGTTTTTAACATATCTTTAATAGATTGTGGAAGTAAATTCATTTATAATATATTGTGCATGAGGGTAGAATTCTAAACATCCGGCTTTGGATTCCATGGCCTCTGTAGCTTCTCCTTAGCATAGACATGCACCTTATTAATGTTGCATTTGCCTGTACTCTTTTTGTTTATAAGAAAGCATTTTATAGCAATTAGTTAATAAAATTCAAAAAGCTAAGAGAGCAAGGTGATCCTCCCTTTTAGATAAAAAATTAAATTTAAAAGCCATTAATCATTTTCATTTCACTTTTCGATTAAAAGCAACCATTGTTTGATCTATCACGTAATCGAACTCTTAAGGGAAAGCAGGTTGTTGAAACAGAACAAATCCCCTTTAACAGGGAGAGAGTTCGAATTTAGATCGTTATGTTTTGCCATTCGATTTTTTGACAAAGCATTGTTGGTATGCATGAGTGAAACATCTGCAATAAAATTGTTTGGAATTGATTGCACCCAGAAGTGATGTGTTTTTTAGGGTTTGCCTAATATTGGGGTAAAAAAGGGTCTTTTAAAAGCAAATCTCAAAGATACCATGATCCAAATCAAGATATTTTTCTGTTTTTAGAAATTCCCACTATGTTTCAATTTTCAATTCTGATTTTGACATCATTGACATTACTGTCATCGCTTTCATCTTTCCGAAAGGAACATTTTGAGCTGAGTTATGCTCAAACAAAGATATCATCCAATGCATGACAGAGTTATAATTATGCTCATTGCCTAGCTACAGAGGTAAAGAAAAGTAAAAGTCTTACAAACTTACACATTTACACTCATCACATAATAACATTTGGGGGAAAAAAGAGCCAAAATACATTGAAAGGACTCTATTGAAGTCAAGTTCTTTTCGGTGAGACATTGTCATCATTTATTAAACATCAAGGCACAGAGTCCACAGCTGTTGCAGTTGTCATTTTAGAGGTTGTGTCTGTGCGGATGTGTGTGTTAGACTTCTGCAGACACTCACCTGCAGCCAGAGTCACTAGGGAGGCTCCTTAACAATTTTAATAAGGGCTAATTATAACTAATTACATTGTTCAATCAAAATCCTGTGGGGCTTCAGGTGTGTGGGCGTGTGTTAGTGTGTGTGTGACAATCACAGTGAGGGCAACCAAAGAGAATAGACAGGAGACAGTGAGTGAAGCGTCACGTTACACTCTGCTCCTGGCAGGTAGTATGTGCTGCAGAGGCTTAGGCCAGTATGAGATTCTCCTGGAATAACAATCTTCAGTCAAACTATTCAAGTTCCATGTTTTTATGCAGAAATGTCAAGCACAAATGTATCGACTAGTCAAAAAGCAGTAGAAATGAGACTGCAGCTTAAGTGATTTAACATTAAAACCAGTTCAACTCAATTTGCTCAATGTCATCGCCTCAGGTATTCAGCTTGCAGGCTGACTCCCAAAATACTCTATTTGCAACCAAATGTATAAACCAATTTAGTCAAAATATAAAGGCTCTGACTAAGGGTTTGTCATCAGACTACTACCTCATTCATGACAAACTGCAGCGT